ATTCTGTTAAATCTCAACTGTTGAATATACACCTTTTGAGTAGTATGTATAACAAGATGGGAAGTATCCCTAAAGCATTTAGTGTCACCAGGATACTCAGGTGATTGTGTTGTGAGCTGAATAACTGCTTTTTTCGTGGACACCATTTTTACTTAAGAGAACAACTGATGGACAAACTCTTGGGCATTTGGCAGGTATTTTCTCAAACATGAATGAAGTGAGCCTGTCTCTTTAAGGAAACGACTATTTGTTGCCAATGATGGAATTCTAGCTTTTAAGTGAAAATTAGAATTTTGGAAAATTTGCATTTGCCGCTGTGAGCTTGACAGCTGCCCAGTATTTAAAGACTCATCAGATTCTTGATCTCAGGGTTGTGAGTTCAAACCCCATAGAATAGAGCTTATAAAAAAAAAGAAAAATAGGGTGCCTGGGTGGCTCAGTCAGTTAAGCATCTGCCTTTGGCTCAGGTCATGATCCCAGGGTCCTGGGATTGGGTCCCAGGTCAGCCTCCCTGCTCAGCGGGGAGTCTGCTTCTTCCTCTCCCTCAGCCCCTCCTCCCCACTTGTGCTCTCTCTCTCTCACTCAAATAAATTTTTTTAAAAAAATCTTAAAAATATTGGGCGCCTGGGTGGCTCAGTTAGTTAAGCGACTGCCTTCAGCTCAGGTCATGATCCTGGAGTCCCTGGATCGAGTCCCGCATCGGGCTCCCTGCTCGGCGGGGAGTCTGCTTCTCCCTCTAACCCTCCCCCATCTCATGTGCTCTCTCTCTCTCTCAGATGGATGAAATCTTTAAAAAAAAAAATCTTAAAAATATTTAAAAAAATAAAAAATTAAAAAAATACTCATTGGAAAAGCTGAGATAGGTAGCAATATGAACAAATGTGATTTTAAAATATTTTGTAATGAAATGTGGCAGCACTTGGAAGATCTGCAAGTTATCAGTGAAATGATATTTTCTAAATGACTAGTGCATAGTGTGATACAATCATGTGCAGGTAAAAGATCCCTTCAAAGTACGAGATCGACAAGTGCATTTTATTGTAACCCGATATGAAAAATTGGGGGGATGGTTTCACATTTCACATTGCAACTAACCTTTAAGAAGCTACTATTAGTTGAGTCTTGGTGTGGTATCAATTAATAGCTATAATTACCTAAAAAGGCTATTGAAATACTCCTCCACTTTCTTACTACATATCTGCACGAAGTCTTATTTTATTCACATATTTCAGCCAAAGTGAGGAATCACACCAGATTGAATGCAGAAGCATTGGAGCATCCAGCTGTCTTCTGTTAAGCCAGACATTAAAGAGATTTGCAAAAATGTAAAACAGTGCCCGTTCTCTCACTTTTTGTTGTTGTTTTGGAACAGAAAGTTTTTAAAAAGAAAACAATGCTATTTATTTTGACATGTAATGGATTTAGTGTCGTCTTTTTAAATGAATTAATATGTTTAAAACTCTTCAGTTTTTAATTTCTGATACAGTAAATATCAATAGCCGTAACCCACATAAATAAAAGCTTTTGGAGGTCCTTAATGATTTTTAAGAGGACAGAGGGGTCTTCAGAACTGCTGTTATGTAACATCACGAGCGAAGATGTGCATTTTCGGTAATGGCCCCATCTCCAAAGTGGCAAAGGCTGTTTTTTCAAGGGCCATTTATAATATTTGCTCACAAAGGAGTCTTTTTAAGATTTGGAATGTTTTTCCATTAAGTTTTCCACATTTTGGTCAAGAATGTAAGTGGGTTGATTAGTTTTTCATCTGTTTTGAATTTGCTTTTAGCTGCTGTCAAAAAAGTCCGTGCTGGAGCAATCCATGATGGGAGTGGTAGAGTGTGGCATCATTAGGGATGTTTCAGTATTTTTAAAAATTTTATTTGTGACAACATTTTATTTCATTTCATTATTTTTTTAAGTAAGCTCTACACCCAGCATAGGGCTCAAACTCACACAACTCCGAAATCAAGAATTGCACACTCCACCTGCTAAGCCAGCCAGACGCCCAAAGAGATGTTTTAATACAGATAAAAATAATGATACTATATTGACAAACAAGTACTAGTTTATTTGTTGCTACTGAATAAGGTTTTTAGTATTAAGATCTTCTATCTTATTTTGACCTTATTTTAGTGCTTTATTATAGCTTGCAGAATGTTCCTGAATACAGATAACTTTATTGAAAACATATTGTTGGTTTGGGGCCAGTAATTTTTAAGGTAGACTCAATTCAAATGTGGATTTTTTTTTTTAAAGAGTTTTGGTATCAAAAGCTGTTGCTCTGTATTCTATACATCAAAGCTAAAAACAAAAAAAAGAATCGCATATTCATAGGGAAAAATATGTAGTGAGATTATCAGCAGGACAATCTAAGAGCAGATGGTGTTAACAAGTTTTCAAGGAAACCCTACAACTACTGAAAATAATAAGGTTCTGGGGGTGGTAGATGAAACAGAGAGAGGACTATCAAATGGAGGGAGGGGTCTGGAAAGGAGTTTTTAAATAAATAGGATTGCTATGAAATTGGTTAGCAAAGGGTTACCAACCAGCCCAGAGCTTTAAAGAAGCCTTGCTCTAAATAGCTAGGAATGATTTGTAATCATTACTTGAATTGTTTGTATATTTGTTCTCTCAAGTAGTTTGAAGTGACCTACAGTCTTGTTTACACTATTAATTTGCTTGACAACCCCTGTCTTTACAGAGGACATAAATAAATCACCTTCCTGACTAGTGTTCCTTGAAGTGGAACCTAGATGTCTGTGGAATATATTATTGGGGACCCAGAGTCAACGAAAACCTTAAATAGTTGTCCCTTGTTTTTTATGATAATGTAAACCATTATTGGATTTATTTTTTTTAAAGATTTTATTTATTTATTTGAGAGACAGAGAGAATGAGAGAGAAAGCACATGAGATGGGGGGAGGGTCAGAGGGAGAAGCAGACTCCCTGCTGAGCAGGGAGCCCGATGTGGGACTCGATCCCGGGACTCCAGGATCATGACCTGAGCCGAAGGCAGTCGCTTAACCAACTGAGCCACCCAGGCTCCCCATTATTGGATTTAAAGACATTCTACAGTAATTCTTTTTCATGAGAAAAATATTCCAGGAAAATAAAACCTTAGTTTCTAAAACTGTCTTGTGGGCCTGGACGGGGGTAAGGTTGAGGAAATGAGTTTTCTTCAAGAAGAGAATTTCTGACGTTGGAGAAAAAGTGCTTTTGGCTCTGCAGAGTCCCCACTCCCACCCAAGGTAGACTTCTAGGGAACTCTGTGTACTCAATTTCTGGTTTGCATAGCTTTGAATGGAATACAGGATGAAAGCATGAGGACACGTGTGAGGTGGGAGGAGCTAGGTTTTAAAACCAAGCTGAAGGATGGCGCCGGGTGTGTCCTGTAGGATCGCGCAACACCTGTGATAGGATTAAACTGTGGCTTTGTATTTTTTAGACTTCATTTGACTCTTTCCCGTTTTCCATGATCCTCATGACTGAGTTGTGAAATTAGGCAGGGACTGATTCTGCATCTTTTGGCATATGACTACACTCTGCTCCGTTCGGTGGCCCCCGGGGGTGAAGTCCCAGGGTGGGGCCAGAACCCGCATTTCTCTATTGCTGCTGTCTCCCCGGGGGACAGCAGACGGTCCATTGTTCTCTCGAGGCAGCTCTCCCTTCCCTGCAATGTCGCGCTGACACTCCCTTCGCTTTCCCAGGCCTTTCTGGTCTCTCCCACCTGGGCCAGGCCCTCTTGACTAACTCAGTGCAGAGCTGCTGCCCACTCTGCCAACCCTCTCCCTGGATCCCTGGGTGCTGCTTCAGATCCACCAGCTCACAGGCCTCCCTCCTTGAGCTCCCAGTAGATCTGTGTTTCCAGCTCCCTTCCGGACATGTCTCTCCCTCACGCAACGTGTCACTTCACCCCAAACTGCTGCCCATCGACTCTCTAGTCCCCAGAGCCAGAGGCAGGGAGGCCCCCAGAATCCTGCCTCTGCCTCATATTCTTTTCCAGTCTCCTCCTGCAATCGGCCGCTAAGACTAGTTGATTCTAGTTGTTACGGGTCTGGACATCCTTCCCTCTCCTCCCGTTTTCTCTCATCTGGACTAAGGAGCTATCTCCTGACTTCCACCTCCTGGCGATTCGAAACATGTCTGTGGGTGTGCCTCTCTCCTTGCAAATTCAGCGGCTCACGTGTGCGCACTAGACAGGCTGAGCTCCTTTGCTTGTTGTTTGAGGCCTGGGGTGATGGGCAGGGACTTTTTCCAGTTTCTTACCCACCACCATCCTTCCCTTGAGCCCTCGCCCCACCTTCGCTCCAGAGGGACAAATCTCGTCCCCCCCTCTCCGATCCCCAGATTCCTGGATGTGTCCCCACTTTTGCAGTAGCTGTTGCTGGAATACCCACCCCCTCTCATTCTCCCAGGCTAGGAACCTCCAGGCACTCTGCAAGATGGGGCTCTGTTTCCGTTCATTTCGGTTCCCCTGCTCCTTTCCTGGCCCACAGTGTGGGTTTGATAAATGTTCAGATGTTTGAATAAGGTCCGCATGAGTCATTTTATTTATGTTTGAAGAAAGCAGTATTTTGTAACTCTTCTTATTCCCATTTGCTTGCCCCAACTTTCAGTGAGCTGTTTTGAATAACTCAGAGATAACAGGTAAGGTGCTGGCAAGCACGAGTGAGTTGATGTGAGTGTTTCACCTCTCGGTTTTTGGAATCTGGAAAAGATATTTTCCTTTGCACCAGGACATTAACTATATCCCCAAACCATGTTTCTAACATGAACGAATGGGTCAGAGTTCAGTACCCCAGGCAGTTTTCAAACCAAATTTGGTAATGTTGATTTAAAACTGCTCAACAAGAAAAGCACCCAGTACAATCATGGAAAATATTAGAACGGCTTTCTACACAGCGACATATTGTTGAGAGAATTGTTCACTGAAATTATATTAATCACAGAGAAGGATTATAAGCTCTCTCTCTCTCTCTGTGTTTGTTTTTTTAAACAGGATCAATTTGACAACTTAGAAAAACACACACAGTGGGGAATTGACATTCTTGAGAAATACATCAAATTTGTAAAGGAAAGGACAGAGATCGAACTCAGCTATGCAAAGCAACTCAGGTAAGTTGATATTGAAAAAGGTTATTTGTTAACTGCAAAATGGTTGTAACAATAATTTATATTCTCATTTATACTGTATAATCCTTTAAATATTTTTCCCCTTTTATGTAAGGTGATATTTCAGTTAGAAACCATTGCTTTTGATAGAGAAGATTCATTTTCATAGAACAATAAAAATAAAAACTAAGTTATTGCCCTTAGGTCTGGGTTTTTGTTTTGTTTTGTTTTTTGGAAGGATAGTTTCTGAATTTTGGAGCTACTTTTTTTTTTTTTTTTTCAGAAAACTCCTAATTGAAATATAATATATAGAGAGAGAAAAGTGTACATTAAAAGTGTTCAGCCCCAGAAATCTTCACAGAGTGAACACCCCCCGTGTCACCAGCACCCAGATGGAGAGACAGGCAAACCCAGCCCCAGAGGCCCCCTGGCCCCTTCCGGTGCACCACCCTCCTCCCATGGCTGTCCACTCTTCTGACTTTGAATGACATGGACAGTCTTGCCTGTTTTTGAACCTCATCTGAATGTATTGACTTATTAGGCAGTTTGTATTTGACTTCTTTTTTTCTACATTATGTTTGGGAGATTCATTCATGCGGCTGTATAATGGTGGTAGCTTGTTTCTTTTCACTGGTGGTTGGTATTTGGGTGTGTGAGTATACCACAGTTCACTCATTCCTCTGCCACGAGGCCATTGCTCGTCTCCTGTTTGGGGATATGAAGTCTGTCTACACCCAGGAGTGGAATTGTGGGGTCATAGGTGTTTAGCTTTAAGTAGACAGCTTTCCAAAATGCTTCTCCCGATCCGTGTTCCGTCCAGCAGCCTGTTAAGAGCCCTGTGGAGCAGCATTTTAAAAGTGCTTGGACTGCTTACATTTTTAATGATGAAATTATCCAAGAAATTTGTGCTTTTAGATAAAATGTGTAAAAGTTGTTGGTAGAACAAAGCTGGAACTTGACGTGGCAGGCACAGACTTTAATGATTTCTTGTTTGGTTGAATTGGTTGGTGCAGATTGTTTTAAGACCTGTTAAAGATCCAGATGACTTTTGGTATAGAAACATTTCGTTTGAACCCAAAGAGCGTCTGCAGGAGGGGTATGTCAGGTGTCACTGAGAGAAGGTGGATTCTTCTAGAGCTGGTGTTGTTTATAAATAAGCACCTGAGTGGTACATACGGATTGTTTTTATGGATGACAAGTTTTGTTTCCGTTGAGAAAAGAAAACATAAAACATATTGCTCAATGAAGCAACCGTTATGACTTGGTGAATCCGGATTGATTTCTGGCACTGTGTGTGTGTGTGCCTCACTTCCTGAATATGGCAATAGGGAAGGGGCTGCTTAGTGTGCCAATTACCTGAATGTCGCACTGTCGTCATAAAATGTCTTTGGTGTGAAAATGGGTTACATACATCCTTAGCCAAAATACGGTCTCACCTTATGGATTTATCTGTTTGTTGCCTTTCTTTTTGTATTAGTTTACACTTGTCTTCCCTGGCACCTTTGTCATGATCCTGTTTTGTTTGGGAGGTTTATGATTAGGCGCCATTAATTCAACACTTAGCAAGTATCTGCTTGGTTCTGTGTCATGAAGGGAAAGGGCTTTCTTAGCTCCCCCTCTGGATTGCACCTGGCTTCTTGCCCTTTCTCATCACCCTAGGTGAGGGACGGAGGATGCAAGTAACAAAATGGAAGGCTATTGGAAAAGAATGCAAATTCCAGTGTGAGTTTAGGGTAAAATACAATGGCTCTCCGTTGACTGTTTTACCCTCTTGTGGATCACAAGTTGAAACAGAGGATCAGTGTCAGGGTTCTGATGGCAGTCTCTTGAAAAGTACTTTTCCTGAGATCTAAATATATATTTAGTAGACTCTACGCCCAACATGGGGCTCAAACTCACAACCCCTAGATCAAGAGTCCCGTGTTCCACTGACAGAGCCAGGCAGGCGCCCCCTGAGATTTAACTATTAACATTGTTTCATTACATCCCTAAGAGGTATCTCAATTTGTACTTGTTGGGAGAAGTTGACCTACAAGATGAGGAGGAATTGAACAAATGCCTTCAAAACCATTACTAACCCTTCAGACTGGTCTTCTCCTCCTTGATACTGAGCCCTCAGCCGGGTCCTCAATGCCGATACATAAGCATCCTTTCTATCCTTTGTCGATTTGCTGCCCCACTCACCAAAGTGACTCAGTTTCCCCTTTCTGCAAACCCAGCATCTCCTTTCCCATCCTCACCACTTGCTTGCTACGTCACTGAGAGCATGGAAGCAGTTAGAAGAGAGTGTCTGCAGACTCTGAGCATCTGTGCCCCCCGCCCCGAGATGCTTCTGTCTAAATCCAGGCCCCCCTCTTGTGCACTCGGTGTTCCCCCTCCCTCTGGCTCCGGAACTCAGCCCCAGTGGTTCTCTCTCCCATGTCCTCAGTTCTTCGTTCCCTGCTGGGTTATTATCCCCATCGACACACAAGCACGCCCTCATTCAAAAACAAACTTCCCTGATGTGGTTCTCCCCACCAGCTGCCACCATGTCGTTGTTCCCTGTGTGATCATATCCCCCAACCTCTCTGACGTCCTGTCTTTCCTCCTTCTCTCTCCTGTGTTCTAACCATACCAGCCTCCTTGCTGTTTCTCATACACACGAGGCACACTCTTGCCCCAGGGCTCACCGTTCTGTACGGGTATCACCTATATATTCCTCGCATGCCCACCCTCTCGCCTCCCTTCAAGTCTTTGCTCAGATGTTAACTGCTCAGTGAGGCCTGCCTCATCTTCCTGCTGTATTTACGGTTCTTCCGTAGCACTAATAACTTTCTAACATTCTTTACAATTTTCTTACATATCATACTTATTACTCATTGCCTTCCACTCCTCCCTGCTAGAATGGAAGCCCCCTAGGGGCAGGGGTTTTTGAGTTGTATTCACTAAAGTCTCCCAGTAGTATGGAACAGTGCCTGATGCATAATAGGTACTCAGTAAATAGTCGTAGAAAGAGTGAATCAACAGGTCCCGTTCTAAGATGTTTGGTCCCCATTGCTTCAAGGAGAATCGTGTTTGCCCAGGCTATGAGAGCGGAAGAGGCTTACCAACAGAACAACCAACAGTGTGTCAACAGAGTGCCAGGGGAGCTCTAATGAACAAGATACCTTGGAGCTCACCTGCTCACTGTGGAAAACAGACCACATGCAAACAAGCAAAAATTTAAATCATTTAAAGATAGCATTTATCATCCCAGATAAGTAAAACCAGTGATGTAATAGAGCATGATGGTGGGTGGGGGTTACTTAGCTAGACTAGCCAGGGAGAACCTGTTGCTTGAGAACCGAAGACAGAGAGGGCCAGCATCCCAAGGTCTAGGGGTAGCTCTTCCAGGCCAAGGGATCAGCAAGTGCAAAGGTCCTGAGGTGGAAACATGTTCAAGGAATGGAAAGGCCAGGGGTGACTGAAGCATGGTCAACAAATGCTTGCTTGCAATATCAGTATGATGTTGAAAAAGCAACACGATCTTTTTGGAGAAGTTTCTGGCATTAAATCATTTTTATTTTTTTCAGCATTAGAGAAAAAAGAACGCCAACTTATTTTAGAAGCAAAGGATGATCATTAGGGCTTTGATTTCTGTAGGTTTACGGGTTGGCAAATTACAGCCTTTGTCCCAATCCATCCACTGCCTGGTTTTATAAATAAAGTTATACAGAAACAAGGCCACATCCATTCATTAATGTACTGTCTATGGCTGCTTCTGAAAACAATTGCAGTTGACTAGTTGCAACAGGGACCACCTGAGCATGACCTACTTGCAAGTCTAAAATACTTACTCTCCGACCCTTTACAGAAAAAGTTTACTGACCCTTGCTATAGTTATTATTTCTTCAAGGCAATGTAAGGTCAAATGCCTAATAAAATTTTAAAACGTTTCATAGACCTATAGAAGAGAACCAACTATTGATTGCCCTTAGCAACTGTTAAATTTTTTTAAAAAGCTAAATTATTTGTTATGACCAGATAATGACTTCATACGATTAAAAATGCCAGAGATAGAAAATGGTGTGCCGTGAAGGGTCCCTTCTCTTTTTTTTTTTTTTTAAAGATTTTATTTATTTATTCATGAGAGACAGAGAGAGAAAGAGAGAGAGAGAGAGAGAGAGAGAGGCAGAGGGAGAAGCAGGCTCCCAAGGAGCAGGGAGCCCGATGCGGGACTCGATCCCAGGACCCTGGGATCATGACCTGAGCCAAAGGCAGACGCTTAACCATCTGAGCCACCCAGGCGCCCAAGGGTCCCTTCTCTTAACCCTGTCCCTGGGGACAGTAAATGTCATCAGCCTCTTGTTTATCCTTCCCCAGAAATTTTATGCTGACACGGGCAAATGAGGGTGTGTTTTCTTCCTTGCTTCCCCAGCAGTCCCGTGTGCCCTTGTCTTTCTACATCCTGGAGGTTGTTCCAAGGATTCATTATTTTTGTGGTTTTATAATATTGCATTGGCTTGGTGGATGTGTTGATTGTTTCCAATTGTTTGCAACTCTGAACAAAGTTGCAATGCATAACCTTGAGTAATCCACTTGGACAAGCCTGTCTAGAGACAAATTTCCTAAAAGTAGCGCTCTGGTTTTGATAGAGTTCACCAAGTTACCCCCTGAGAGGCTGTGACCCTTACTGCTCATAGGAGAGCCTGGGGCAGTGCTACTTACCTTGACCCTCTGCTCTCCCTGGTACCAGTCTTTTCTTATCTTTGCCAACGTGATAAGTAAAAATTGGAGAGTCTGAGCCTTAGTTTGTGTTTCTCTTATTATCAATGAGGTTGAGCCTGTTTTTATACATTTGAGCCATTTATGCTTTCTTTTTGATGACCCATTTATGTCCTGGTCAATTTTTTTTTTTCTAATTAGAGTTCATTGTCAATAAAGGGTAACTATGTAGAAATCATTTTATAAAATATATTGCATATATTGTATATACAAGGAATTCAACTTACAGTTACTTTCACCGTAAAAAATACATACAAATG